CAGTCCTATGCTGCTTTCCCAGCTATCAGTCTGGGGCCCATGAGCAATGCCTTGTTCAGGTCAGCTGTTTCTGTGGGTTTCACCAGCCTGGTCTTGACCCCTTTGCTCATTGCTCCTCCCACTCTGCAGCTGGATTCCAGGGTTCAGTTCAGCGTTTAGCAGTGGGTGTCTGCTTCTGCTTCTATTAGCTACTGGATGAAGGTTCTAGGATGGCATATAAGGTAGTCATCAATCTCATTATCGGAAAAGGGCACTTAAGGTAGTCTATCAACTATTGTTTAGATTGTTAGTTGGTGCCATCCTTGTAGATATCTGAACATTTCCCTAGTGCCAGATTTTTCTTCAAACCTATAATGGCTCCCTCTATTATGGTATCTCTATTCTTGCTCTCCTCTATTCTTCCCCTGACTCAATCTTCCTGCTCCCTCACATCCCCCTCTCCCCTCCTCTTCTCCCCTTCTCTTTCTCCTAACTCCCTCTCCCCTTCCCCCCATGATCCCGATTAGCTCAGGAGATCTTGTCCCTTTCCCCATCTCTGGGGGACCATGTATGTCTCTCTTAGGGTCCTCCCTGTTTCCAAGCTTCTCTGGCAGTGTGGATTATAGGCTGGTACTCCTTTGCTCTGTGTCTCAAATCCATATATGAGTGAATACACGCCATGTTTGTCGTTTTGTGACTGGGATACCTCACTCAGGGTGGTTTCTTCTAGTTCCATCCATTTGCCTGAGAATTTTAAGATTCCATTGTTTTTTCCATTGAGTAGTACTCCATTTTATAAATGTACCACATTTTAGTAATGTTTCTTTTACGAATGTGGATGCCTTTGTATTTGAGGCATAGATGTTCAGAATTGAGACTTCATCTTGCTGGATTTCTCCTTTGATGAATCTGAAATGACCTCCTTCATCTCTTTTGATTGATTTTAGTTTAAAGTATAATTTGTTGGATATTAGGATTGCTACCCCCACTTGTTTCTTGGGTCCATTTGATTGGAAAATCTTTTCCTAACCCTGAGGTACTGTCTGTCTTTGAAGTTGAGGTATGTTTCTTGTATGCAGCAGAAGGATGTATTCTGTCTTCGTATCCCTTCTGTTAGCCTGTGCCTTTTCATTGGCGAGTTAAGACCATTAATATTGAGGGATGTTAATGAACATTGATTGTTCATTCTTGTTTGTTTTGGTGGTGGTGGTGGTGGTGGTGGTGGAATTGTGTGTGGAGTTCCTCCCCTTTTTTTCTTTTGGCTGTTGGTAGAGTGAAATTATCTATTGCCTATGTTTTTCTGGTTGTAGTTAACTTCCTTGAGTTTGCAGTTTTCCTTCCAGAACTTTCTGTAGGGCTGGATTAGTGGATTGTATTGTTTAAATCTAGTTTTGTCATGGAATATCTTGTTTTCTCCATGTATAGTGGTTGAAAGCTTTGCTGGGTAGAGTAGTCTGAGCTGGTATCTGTGGTCTCTTAGTGTTGGTAGAATATCTATGCAGAACCTTCTGGCTTTCAGAGTTTCTGTGGAGAAGTCAGGTGTAATTTTGATAGGTTTGCCTTTATATGTTACTTGACCTTTTCCCCTAGCTGCTCTTAATATTTTTTCTTTATTCTGTATGTTTGGGATTTTGATTATTATGTGGCGAGGGGACTTTTTGTGGCCCATTCTATTTGGCTTTCTGTAGGCTTCTTGTACTTTCATTGGCATGTCTTTCAGTTGGCAAAGTTTTCTTCTATGATTTTTTTAATATGTTTTCTGCACCTTTGAGGTAGGTTTCTTCACCTTCTTCTATACCTATTATTCTTAGGTTTGGTGTTTTCATGGTGTCCATATTTCCTGGATATTTTGTGTTAGTGATTTGTTGGACTTTTGAGATTTTCTTTGGTCAATGAATCTATGTCTCCTAGTGTATCTTCAGCGCCTGCTTGCATCTATAGTTCCTGATCATTTACCCAACTTTTCTATTTCCAACATTCCCTCAGATTGTGTTTCCTTTATTGTCTCTATTTCAGTTTTTAGGTCTTGCACTGTTTGAATTGTTTCCCTCATCTGTTTGTTTTTTCTTGGCTTTCTTTAAGAGATTTGATGATTTCTTGTATTTTTTGGGTTGTTTTTTCTTCCATTTCTTTAATGGGTTTTCTCATATCCTTTTTGAGGGCCTCTATCATTTTCATGAAGTTGTTTTTAAGGTCCTTCTCTTCTGTTTCCTCTGCGTTGGGATGTTCAGGTCTTGCTAATATAGATCCCTAGACTCTGGTGGTGTCATATTGGTTTTTCTGTTGTTGAATGTGTTTTTATAGTGTCTTCTTCCCATCCCTTCTTACACTAGTTCACTAGTGACTGTGGGGGTGGTCAGCAGCATTTACTTTCATGGATTACATTTTGAGACATTTCTCTCTGAAACCTTTCATTCGAAATATATAAGAAGTTAGGTTAAGAGCTCTCAATGCATTAACTTCTTACTGGTCTACTTGACCTTCCTGGTAGAGCACTCAGCCTGCTATGGTTCTAAGGAGAGTCATTCTATCAAAGATGCCTCAGCCATGTAATGTAAAGGTTATACACCCCCAATTTCTTCTTTCTATTCATTTTGTTGATTTAAAATATAGTTTTCCTTTGTCTTCAGAAGCAGAAACATGTCCTGAATGCTACCCTAAAACAAGGTAAGATGCAATTAATTGTTTAAGGCAGTCTTTAGTGAATGCAGAGAAAAGAAACTAATATTTGTTACATATTCTCTGGCTAGACACAATATGATGTATATACCACTTGCCATCTCAGGGAAATCACAGAATGTATGCAAAGTATCCAAATATGGCATACTTCTCATGCTAGATAGTGGTGGTACATGCCTTTAAACCCAGCACTTGGAAGGCAGAGGCAGGTGAATTTCCATGACTTTTAGGCTAGCCTGTTCTACAGAGTAAGTTCCAAAACAGCTAAGGCTATGCAGAGAAACTCTGTCTCCAAAACAAACAAACAAACAAAACACAAAACAAACACAGTACTTCTTCCCATAATTGGCTACTCTCATTTGAAGGGCAGCTTAATTGGCTCATAAACCTGTGTGCCTTCCTAGCTCTATGATGCTCTCTGCTCTTCCTCTTCATAGATTGAAAGGACAGAAATACAGGTCTGTATAACACCAGTTCAGAAAATCAAATTTAGTCACAATGTTGAGTTTTTCTTTCATGCTTTATCATAGTCCAGTAATTTAATGTAATGCTATACTGGGAAGCATTGCCTTGCTTTTAGCAGTTAAATGTTTTAGGGGAGCTCTCACTAACATGTGGCCATAATACAGTGTTGGTATATAGTGATTCTATTAGAAGTGGGAGAGAGCATCAGTGGCTGAGCAAGAGGGCTAGACGCTGGGAGAGAAACAGAGCATCAGCAGCTGAGCAAGAGGAACAGAAGCATCAACAGCAGCAGCTTACAGAAATTATCTTAAGAAGTGCCTCTGGGAGCCCTGGAAGACAGCATCAGCACCATGGCAGGCCTAGGCCGAACTGGGAGACAACATCAGAAACAGAAGTGACCTCCAGAAACTATCCAACCACCAGAGCCTCAGCCCTGCCTGCACCTAGAGGAGCAACCACCAGACCCATGGCACTGCCTGTATCCAGAGGGGTGACCATCAGAGCCTTGGGCCCGTCTACATTTGGAGGAGCAATCACCAGAGGATCAGGCCTGCCTACACCTAAAGGAGTGTTCAAAGGAGCCACAGCCCCAAAGTATACCAATTGGAGGACAGGGACCCCTGAAGCACAGGCTCCACCTATACCAATTGGGTGAAGAGATCGGTAGACAACAAGGTAAGAATACACTTAACAACACAAATAGCAATACAGCATCACCAGCAACTAAAGATTCTGTAGCAACAAGAACTGAACATCCCAATGCAGGTGAAACAGAAGAAAATGACCTTAAAACTAACTTTATGAAGATGATTAAGGCCCTTAAAGAGGAAATGAAAACTTCCCTTAAAGAAATGAAGGAAAAGACAAACAAAAAATGGGAAGAAATCAATAAATCCCTTAAAGAAAACCAAGAAAAAGCAATCAAACAGGTGAAGGAAACAGTTCAAGACTTGAACATTTAAATAGAGGCAATAAAGAAAACACAAACCAAAGTAACTCCAGAAATGGGAAATCTGGGTAAATGATCAGGAACAACAAATGCAAGCACAAGCAAGAATACAAGAGATGGAAGGAGGAATCTCAGGCATTGAAGACACAACAGAGGAAATGGATTCACCAGGCAAAGAAAATGTTAAAGCCAACAAATTCTTAACACAAAATATCCAGGAAATCTAAGACACCATGAAAAGACCAAACCTAAGAATAATAGAAGAAGAGAAAGGAAGACGTCCAGCTCAAAGGTGCAGAAAACATATTCAACAAAATCATAGAAGAAAACTTTCCCAATCTAAAGAAAGACATGCCTATGAAAATACAAGAGGCTTACAAAACACCAAAAAGAATGGACCAAAAAAAAAAAAAAGTTCCCTCACCACATAATAATCAAAACACTAAACAAACAGAAGAAAGAAAGAATATTCAGAGTTGTAAAGGAAAAAGGCTGAGTAACATATAAAGGCAAACCTATCAGAATTACACCCAACCTCTTAATGAAAACAATTAAAGCCAGAAGGTCCTGGCCAGGTGTTCTGCAGACACTAAGAGACCACAGATGCCAGTCCAGACTACCATATCCAGATTTCAATCATCATAGATAGAAAATAAAAAATATTCCATGACAAAACCAGATTTAAACAATACCTATCCACAAATCCAGCCCTACAGAAAGTACTAGAAATAAAACCCCAACCCAAGGAAGTTAGCTACAACCACAAAAACACAGGCAATACATAATCCCACACCAGCAAATCCTAAAGAAGAGAAACACAATACAATACCACCAATGACAAAAACAAAAATAACAGGAACTCACTGGTCATTTTTTATCCCTTAACATCAATGGACTTAATTCTCCTATAAAAAGACACAGACTAACAGATTGGATACTAAAACAGAATCATCATTCTGTTGAATAAAGAAACACACCTCAACCTCAAAGACAGATATTGCCTCAAAGTAAAGAGTTGGGAGAAGATTTTCCAATCAAATGGACCTCAGAAACACACCGATATAGATATCCTAATATCTAACAAAAATAGACTTCAAACTGAATTAATCAAAAGAAATAAGGAAGGTCATTTCATATTCATCACAGGAAAAATCCATCAAGATGAAGCCTCAATTCTGAACATCTATGCCCCAAATACAAAGGCACCCACATTTGTAAAAGAAACATTACTAAAGCTTAAATCACACATCAAGCCTTGCACGCTAAGAGTTGGAGACTTCAACACCCCACTCTTACCAATGGACAAATCTCCCAGACAGAAATTAACAGAGAAATAAAGGAACTAACAGATGTTATGACTCAAATGGGCCTAACAGACATTTATAAAACATTCCATACAAACACAAAATAATATATCTTCCTCTCAGTACCCCATGGAACCTTCTCTAAAACTGACAACATACTCGGTAACAAAGCAAACTCAACAGATACCCCAGTGTATCTTATTAGATCACCATGACTTAAAGTTAGAATTCAACAACACTGATTGCAGGAAGCACATAAACTCATGGAAATGCTCAACTGAATCACCAATGGGTCAAGGAATAAATAAATTAAAGACTTCCCAAAATTCAATGAAAACAACCCAACATACCCAAACTTATGGTACACAATGAAAGCAGTGCTAAGAGGAAAGTTCATAGCACTAAATGCCTACATGAAGAAGCTAGAGAAATTCCACACTAGTGAATTAACACAACAAATGAAAGTTCTAGAACAAAAAGAAGCAAACTCACCCAGGAAGAGTAGTCAGCTGGGAATAATCAAATTGAGGACTCAGAACAATAAAACAGAAACAAAGAAAACAATACAAAGAATCAGTGAGACAGAGTTGGTTCTTTGAGAAAATTAACAAGATGGAGAAACCTTTATCCAAACTAAGACAGAGAGAGAATATCAGCAATTGTATAGACATGTGATCTTTAACTACTGTCAATCCGAGTTCTAACATTTCAAAGGTTCCATCTGTTCCAGGAGACACTTTGCTGTTTTAAGGAGATGCAAAGCACTGGCATCTTCCAGTCTATGGCTTCAACAATGAAGAATCACGATGTCTAATCCTGAATTACAGTCATTAAACAGGGAGATAGCAAGGAATGAGCACTATATATTTGAGTATTGTGTTGTAGTTTTTACAGTTCATGCAGCAAAAATATATGTGAGCCAATAGCTGGGTTTTCATATCAGCCTCCAGGAGAGGAAATTTGTAAAGACAAACTATTTTGGGGCTCTGCCAATATATGGTCTACCATTCTTTGTCATGGATATATGACTGAGCCTCCATAAATAATAAGTAGAAAGCTGAAGCAAAAACACACAACAATCACTTGTTCACTTGTTTTTAACCAAGATCAACTTTAAATATCTCACAAAGAGATGGTATCTAGTATACAGATAAGTGATAACTGAAACGCCCTCTTCTTGTTCATTTTTATTCTTAAGCCTCGACCACAAAATTATAAATCCCAAGCCCACAACAGAAGAAGATGAACATAGCATCAGCTCCAAGGTAAAATGCCCCTTTGTGAGATTAGTTTTTTCTTTCTGATTTTGGGGCTTTATTTATTATTATTATTATTATTATTATTATTATTATTATTATTATTATTTCCTAAACTCAGCAGTGGTCTCCTATCATTGCTTTTCAAAAGCTGACCAGGGAAAAACCTTTATAGTTATGACCAATTGGGTGTGTGGGGTTTGGCTAGTTTGTTTTACTATGAGAAATGCCAGAGGTAGTAAGTGCTGTCAAGTAGTGGGGTTGGATTCAGGCATGGAAAATATATAATGGAAAGAGTTTTATCAGGCATAGTTTTCACAATAGAGAAAATCTGAAACTTGAACCAGGAACTTTGGGATAAATATACATCATTGTGGTTTAATTTCTTTTACTGGGGGCTACAGACTTGTTGCTCTTCCAGAGGACCCAGACTCGGTGGTTACCACTACCCAGCATGGTGGCTCACATCCATCTGTAACTCCAGGGCCACGGAATCTGATGACTTCTGACCTCCACAGGCACCATGCACGCACGGGTGCACAGACATACATGCAGGCAAGCACCCAAACACATAAAATAAAATAAATGTAAAACGATTTAAAAAATGAAGAGCTTACTGGTGTGACTTTCGTTGTATGTCTCAGAGTTGAGGAAACTGAAAGCATATTGGACAGCTAATAGACCGTTGTGATTTCAGAACTGTCATTGGGTGTAGTTTCTTTCTCCTCCAAAACTTTGGATTCATTTCATATTGTTTTCTGACAGATTGTGTTCTTGGTTTCAACCCTTGTTTCTGTATTGAATAACGTAAGAAATTATGGAAAAATTACACAATTACAGCCCATCAAAACTAGAGATTTCCCTGTATTTTTCTTACAGATTTATTTAAGTGTACACATGCATGGGGCCTGTAATGATCTGCATCAGGTTTTCTGCGTGTGTTATTACTGCAATCTTGGTGTTTGTGTGGGACTCCTAACAGTGGGAGCTGGTGTGTCTCTGACTCTATTGCCTGATCTTGGGATTCTTTTCTTCTTACTGGGTTTCCTTGTCCAGCCTCAATGGGAGGACTTTTGCCTTGTATTTTTGTATTTTGTTTTGTCATGTTTGGTTGTTGTCTCTTAGAGTCATGTTCTTTTCCAAAGGGAAAAGGAGGAGGACTTGGTCTGGGGTAGAGGGAGGGCTGGGAGGAGGGGTGGAGGGGAATCTGTGGTAGGGATGTATTGTATGAGAGAAGAATTTATTTTCCACCTATTTTTAAAAGTCTGTAGAATTGAATAATACATTTTTCCCCAAGCAGTTACAACCTATACAAGTAGAGATTCAACCATGGAGTAAAAATATAATTTCTGAATTTTTTGTGCTTAGTTTTTAATAATATTTCTAATAATATTTCACATTCTAAGTTTCGAATTCTAATGTTTTAAATTTTAGAAGACTTTTACTTACTCATTTAAATAGTCATCTTAAGTCTTCTGCCCATTAAGAGCTAGCAGAAGGCAGGAAACCTGCCTGATAATGGGCCACTTTTAGTTCCTAGAATAAAGTTTCACACAAGAACAGCATTTTAATATATTTCAATGTGAAGAAAAAAACAGAAAGATACTAGCAATTAACTGTATTGAATATTTTAAATGTACCCTAGATTAATTTTCCTTATTAATGCTTAAGGTGCAATTTTCTTTAAGGAGATCTGTCATAAAAGAAAGGGAACAAAATAAATTAAAAAAAAAAAGAAAGGGAACAACTTAGAGGAGGGCCACTAATAGCAAAGATTTGCTGGGACCTCAGCATTTTCCAACTATGGCTTTAGATTGGGTTTTAGATGAGTGGTTCTTAGACATTTCAGCTCGTGTCTTTTTCATTAAATGTGTTTTCATATTGCACATTGCTGTCTAGCAGCCTAAGTACCAATTATTTCTCTTGATTAAAAGTTGAAGCAAAGGGGCTAGAGAGATGGCTCAGAAGTTAAGAGCACTGGCTGCTTTTCCAAAGGTCCTGAGTTCGATTCCCAGAAACCACATGGTGGCTCACAACCATCTGTAATGACATCTGGTACCCTCTTGTATTATGTAAGCTTTCATGTAGGCAGGACACTAGACATAATGAGTAAGTAAATCTTTTTTTTTTTTTTTTTTTTTTTTTTTTAAAAAGGATTTTTTAGTGGGGGCAGTGCAGTGCTAGCTGCCCTGAAACTCAGGGTTTCTCTGTGTAGCCTTGGTTGTTCTGGAGCTCGCTCTATAGACCAGGCTGGCCCAGAACTCATAGAGATACCCCTGCCTTTGCCTCCCAAGTGCTGGGACTAAAGGCATATGCCATCACCACCCAGCAAGTTAATCTTTAAAAAAAGAAAAAAGAAAAAAAAAAGCTGAAACAATACTTTTTTCCAAGTTGTCTGTTGGAAATGGTCCAATTTTCATTCTGGAGTAGATGGTTTTGGTCCCTAGTTTTATTTCTTATCTCATAGTAATAAATGAACCTTTTATCATTGCAGTGTTTACAAAAGTGCTTAGTTTAAGAAAAACAGTCGTTGCTAGGCAGTGGTGGCAGGCACCTTTAATTCCAGCACTTGGGAAGTAGACGCAGGCAGATCTCTGTGAATTTCAGGCGGGCCTGGTCTACAGAGTGAGTTCCAGGACAGCCAAACCTACATAGAGAAACCCTGTCTTGAAAAACCAAAAGCAGAAAAAAGAAAGAAAAACAATTATTGTTAGCAATATATAAATTCGTAGGTCAGTTTGTAACATGCTTGATTTTGTGTCTGTCAACCCAATACTACATTTACCAAAAGTCAGTCTACTGGATTCCCAACACCCACTACACATTGTCCACTGCTAGTGTGGCTATTGGATTCAAATTGCTAAGGGTTTGCTAAATATGTCACTGCAATTTAGCAGTGACAAATATATGCTATTAGACCATTTGTCTAATTTTAAACTACATTGCATTTGGCCCAAGTAGGAAATATGATCCATGATCCATCAGGATATTTGATTAGGCATAGGAAAACCAGGATGGTTTTAAAATAGGGTCTTGTTTTTTTCTTTGTGATATCATAATGGTACCTTAAAAGCTTAATTGTCCTGTCATATAAATGTATATTTTAAAATGATCTTAAGGTAGGTTCTCAATATGTTGCCCATATTTTCCTTAGACTGTTTGGCTCAGGGATGGAGTGATGGCTCAAGAGCTTAGAGCACTTGCTGTTCATGTCCCCAATATGACAGCTCACAGTATCAGTAACTCCAGTTCCAGGGGATGCGGAGCCCTCTTCTGGCCTCTACTGGCAGCAGACATATATGCAGTGTGTATATATGCATGTAGGCAAAACCACTCACTCACATGAATTTAAAATTATTTAAATCTTTAAAAACAAAAGGCCCATTTGGCTCAAGTGACCTTCCTGCTCACATCCAAATGGCTTGGACTACAGCAGTGCAGCGCCAGTCTCGGCTCAGAATGTAAACATTCAGGAATCATTTTCAAAAGGATCCTTCTTGTAACATTTTCTTTTAAAAATTGAGGTTTTGTAATATTTTCAATGTTTGTTTTATATTGAGACCTTTTAATTCCATGTACTAATGCACACTCAGATGAGGGAAATTACTTGCATATGTTATTATAAATGTACATGTTCTGCCCTTGAAGGCATATTGCATATATAATTGCATAATTGACATTGCTATCTTTTTCTACCTTCTTATTTTCATTTTTAAACTTAGTTTTATGTAGGTTTGTGTTATTTAAGTTTTTCAGTTCAGTGTATTTTGCAAATCACTGTTTTGTTTGTTTGGTTGGTCGGTTGGTTGGTTTTTTGGGACAGGGTTTCTCTGTGCAGCCCTAGCTGTCCTGGAACTCACTCTGTAGACCAGGCTGTCCTCAAACTCAGAGATCCATCTGCCTCTGCCTCCCAAGTACTGGATTAAAAGTGTGCGCCACCACTGCCTGGTGAAAATCAGAGTCTTTATTTAATACATGTGCTTTCAAGTAATTTCATTTCCTCTTCCAAATGGAAGTATTCACTTGTATCTTCTAAGTTGTCTGGGTGAAGACACTTTTCCTGGCCTATTCCTAACTGTGTGTCCATTTTCCCACCCTAAGAACAATAGCATTCAGTGAAGTATACTGAACTGTTGAAGCTGGCAAAACTCTGAACTCCCCTTCGCAACAAAGCTGGCCTTTCCCGCCTATCTCAGTTGATGGGAGAATAGATAGATTCCTGTAGTCCAAACTCCTGGCTGTTGAGAGCCTCAGACTACAGGATGGAACCTGTGGCATTAGGAGTGGAACAACAGTTATTTCAACTCTGGAATATTTGTAAATATCATCACTTTTTCAGTGGTCATTGCTGTCTATTAGAATTGCATTCATTACAGGGAGCCACATGCCTTTATAGTCTGTGAAATGTGGTAAGTTTTTGGACTTTATGTGGCTTCTGGTTTATCTTTAGGGGATGGTTAAATTTTTTCTGTTTTTCCTCCTTCCTTTTGAAAGAAAAATGATTTGCCACTGGTCTCAATTTTTTTCTTATTAAAAAATGTCTTTAGTGTCTTTTGGTCCATCTTTATGTCAAATCTTTGCTTATTTAGTTACAATGTTTTGTTCACTAACTTTATGTGGCTTTCTTCATTGATTTTTGTCCCAGTGGTATTGTCTTTTGTCACTTTTGCAAAGAGAGGAATTCATGTAGTCATTTATCTTAACTCTTTAATACACTGAGAAGCAACACCCTATATGAATCCCATGCATCCAAAGCAGATGTTACAGAAGCAAACTTTCCCTCAGGAAGTCATTCATGCAAACACAGCAGGCAGTTAACAAATCCCTCCTGAGTCATGGAGAGTGAGTTCTTGACCTTGGCACCACAGGTGCAGATGCCAAAGACAGAAGAAACCAAGTAGTGCCTACCACAAACAAGAGGAATGACTGTGTAATTGGAAAGCTCTGTATACGGTGTCTCTGAGACTCTACTTCCTCAAATGTAAATGCTTGTCACAAAAACGCCTTGT